CCCGCCTCGCCCCGCCTCGCCCCGCCTCGCCCCGCCCCGGGGACACGCACGGTGCTGCTGTATCCATCCGTCTGCAGTACACTACCGTAAAGACAGCGCGCCGATCAGATCCCATACCGACCCCCGTGCGCGAGTGCGAGCGAGAGGGCGAGAGGCGCGGGGCGGGCGCTTCCTCGGCTCAACTCGCGGTTTTTTGCATTTACGATGGCATCGAACGACCGGTCGTACCGCGGCGGGGCGCGCGGAGGGGTAGGATAAGGGGAAAATAAAACATAAGTAAGAGGGTTACCGAACAGGTGTGCGGCGGGGCAGCGGGCCGAGGCGGCGAGGCGGCCGCCCTCGAATTGGGTCGCGGGGGTAGTAGTAGGTCCGCGCGGGTGACAGATGCCGTCTTTTAGAGGGTGGAAATAAAAATAGAAACGATGGGGGGTGAATGCGCGGGTTATAAGTAGGGCCGCTTTAATTAGGCGGGAGTGTGTAGTGAGAATGACCCCCCTGCGGGGGTCCAGGCGGTGGTGCAAGCAGCTGGAGGCGGCGGCCCCGGACCCCGCCCCCTCAGGGGAGACGACGATGAACACCCCGCCGCGCCGGGCACGCCACCAGGGCCGTCGCTATTCATGCAGGCCCACGCTGTGTCTCTTTATATTCTGACAGCCGCGCCAGCAGCGCGACGGCCCGGCGCCGCCCCGCCCCGCCGCAGGGACACTTATTGGACAAGCACCCGACGGCCAGCAGCGCGGCGGCAGGCCCCGCGGCCACCGCAGGGCATGGCAGGGTCCGGCCCGGAGACAGAAGGGCCCGATGCGTATCAGTACCCGCGGCCCAACTCGCCTCGCCCCGCCCCGCCCCGGGGCGGCCTCGGCGTCATAGCGTCACGCGCCGCCCGCGCTGCCGCCCGCCCCTTCATGCGAGTCTCCCCGGGGAGGAGGAGGACGAGGACGAGGCCGAGGAGCAGGAGGAACAAGGAGCAGCCCCCGCCCCCGCGCAGTGTGCATACGCGACGAGCCCTGGCGGGGAGGGGCGGGGCGGGGCGGCACGTGACCGGGTGGGGCGGCCCGGCGCCACCCGATCCCAAAAAGACTTTCCTCCTTGAAGGAGCTCGTTCCCCCGAAACGCCCCGCGCCAGTTACCTCCTTTGGCAGCTCGAGTGTCGCACACACACACGCACACACTCACAAGCACAGTCTGCCGTGTGCGGAAAAGAGGTAGAAAGGTCGACTTACTAGGGGGCGGAGCAGCAGCAGCAGGAGCACCGGGCGCGGGAGCAAAAGGGGAAAATAGTAGAGGTCAAGCTCGCGTCCCTGGTGGCGTGACGGGGCTGGGCCGGGGTGGGGCAGGAGGACACGGCGGTGGGGGAGTGACGACGGCCGAACCAACAATCACGCGGCAAATAAGATGCCCCCGGGCGATAGGCCGCCGCCCGCAGCCGGTTGGCGGAGGCGAGGGAGGGCACGCCGTCGAGGTGGCGTGACACCCTCCTGGAAATGGCGCCCCCGCAGCTTCCTGCTCGCGGCCCGGCCGGGGTGAAACTGGCTCTGCCCTAATGACGGCGGCGGCCCGTCCACGGTGTCAATTAACTCGGAGGCTCGGTAGAGGTGATGATTCGGAGCCGGGGCGGGGGGATGGTCGTCGGGGCAGCGCCATCGCCATGCAGGGCACGGCGGGGGCGCCACCGGGGCGTGGACCCGCGGACCGTTACATCATCATCGGCAACCTGCGGCCTGCGGCGCCAAGCGGGCGCCACGCGACCGGGGGGTGCACAGCCGAGCACCAACAGGGCGCCATTATCACGGTCCACCATCGTGTGCCCTCCTCGGCCGCCCTGGACCCGCCCGCCCGCCCGCCCACGGCCGCTGCTCAAGGACGCGGCCGGTCCTCTGGATTACCGGCAATCACAGCTGCGGTTGCGCAACCGCCGTGGGGAGGGGAGGGGGCCGCATTGTAAGGAGAGCCCCCCTGGGACTTGCTGAGCTTCCGGCATCCGGTGGGCGCGCGGGAGCTGGCGGGGACGTGGGGGCTGGGCGCGGCGCGGTTAGGCAGTCCCCGGCGCCGCGATGCAGCGCTGTGGGGCTGGCGGCCTACCCTGCGCTCCGCAGGCGCCCCCGCCGCACCGCCGCCGCTGGGGCTGCCGGTGCTCTCTGTACCCCGCGCGGTGCTCCGCGCCCGCGTGTCCGGGTGTCGGGCCGAGTCGGCTGATAACTCGTCCCTGTACTGACGGGCTCGTGATTTTGTTTTGCCGCAGGCATGGCTCCCCTCCTCCTGTGGACTGCAGTGGTCGCGGCCCTCGCCAGCCTGGGCAGCGTGGGCGTGTCCGCCATGCCCATGCTGACGGACCAGGGGCAGCGCGCAGAGCCGTACGTCCCGACCGCCATCCTCGAGTGGTACCTGCAGCAGCGCGACCTGCAGCAGCGAGACATGCAGCAGCGGGAGGCTGACCTGGACCAGCCGCCGGTGCAGCAGCTCCAGCCCAGCGAGATCCAGCAGCAGTTCAGGGAGTGGCTCACCACGCAGCTCGCCCGGCTACCCGCACCCGTCGAGCAGGGCGAGGAGGCGAACAAGGCCCTGGTGGGGCCCCCACAGCCCAAGCGAGGAAACTGTAAGTACCCAGCCGACATGAGTTTTATCAAGGAATAACTTTCGTTGCCGTTGCAAGTTCTAAAAGTGTGGTTTCACTCCATTAGATATGGCCCTGTGCCACTTCAAGATCTGCAACATGGGCCGGAAGCGAAGTGGTCGGCTCCAGTCCCAGGACCTTCCCTGAAGAAAAACTACATTTCATTTCGCGCCCGCCACGCCCCGCCACGCAAAGCAACCAGCTCTCGCTCCTCCACCCTTTGGCTTGACCACCATCACTAAAACTTTAAATTCGGCTGAGGACTGATTCCTTTCTCTTCGAGGCTCAAGCGCGGGCTCCAACCTTCGTGAAAGTCGCCTCCGCACAGCAACTTTTGCTCTATATGTTACCATCCTCGTTTATCGTTAACCCATAGACAGTAGGAAAGCTTTGTATTTATTAGCAAAATCATCACCATTTTACTCGTTTGCCACTTCCACGTTTGGGACACGGTCCGCTACGACCGCTTGAATACACAATCACATTCTCAATGGGGTTTAATAATGATTTTAGTTTGTTTAGTTTTACGACTACCCTATGTACAATAATTACTTTTTAACAACGGACTGCTACAGTAATGCATATATACTTTTAGTTTTAAGAAAATGCTTCAGTAGGCCATAGTAAATGAAAACATTTAAAAAACAAGAAAAAAATGGGGAAAGAAGAACAAAGTCAGGGAAACCTCTAGTGCATGCAGGATGACAAAATGTACTTTTCTGCATGATGAACAATATGCAGTAAATAGTAAACAAATAAGGGTGATTAGAGGATTCCCTGCATTCAAGAACTTGTGTATCAAAGAAAGATGGAAGTTTAAACCTGATATGTTCCTTTCAAATGGTATTTTCAAATAGTATTATTTTAGAAATACAGAAAATTGCATCCCTGCCCTCCCCTCTTTGAATGTAAATTTTCATCCGAATGTAGTTTTAGAAAATAGATCTCCTGCATACCTTCTCAACCACCTCGCCTAGTACCTCACTTGTTAGAAAAAAAATTGTCCAATAGACTTTTAATTTAATTTTGTTCTGTATTTAGTTCCAGGCTGACTTTTATCTGGAAAAAATAAGACATCAGTTTCAAAGTTTAAGTTAAGTTATTCAAAGAAAGCTGTAATGATTAGGGGCTGTAGCTTCTGAGAATGCTCTTTAAGTTTCTGAATTTAGTTATAAGACTTTCTTCTTGTGAGATTAAAAACTAGGTCATCCATAATGTATTGTTTTAAGTTTTGCTTCTGGCACAAAGTTATTTTGAAGCTGTACTGTACATCATAGAAATAAATTGTTTTTATTATGTTAAAACTGCAGATTTTAACTGCTGTTTGAATAATATTTCCATCATCAGAAACGATGATTGTACAATTCATAAGCACATCTACCACATACGTTTTCACGAAACAGACATCATTGCACAAGACGTTAAAAATTATGTTAAGTAATTGAAGGCAGAAAGATTGAATCCACAACTTTTAGTTACAAGATTTAATCTCTTTGTGCAATAAAAATATTGCTTGAACTGGTCAAACCGAAAGGAGTCTGCCTCTTGCTGATAGCCAAAACTGGCAATTATTCCAGACTCAAGAACTTATATTTCTGATTACAAAGTAACACTTATTCAATGGCACCATCGCATTTAAATACATAATTACGCCCTAAGCACAACAGTATACTAAAATAGGAATAAATGTCAACATGAACCGGAGAAAGTGAATAAAATTGTTCACTCCATAATATTGAGAATTTCTAAGGCTCATTCTTTTATTGAGAATTTCCAAGGCTCATTCTATTTTTATGAAATGACATAAGTCAGAATGTGTCAACTTTATCCGAGGTTAGGGAGTCCGACATCGCAACTAGTAGGACTGTGACAGTGGTTCTTTGCATCCTAACTTAAATGACAACTGTTCAAAAACTCACCTGGACTCCAAACAATCAATGAAAAAATATAAAGATGAAAGCAAAGTAGTCCAAAAGTTCTTAAAGATCGAAAACTGAACACAACACAACACACAAACACATTGGAAATTGTAGGATGAAACAAAAAGCCGGCAAACATCACTTCGGTTGCCAACATCTCATCCTAAACGTTTGAGGTCACAAAGATAGAAGGTAAGAAGAATTATTCTTGGACATCGCAAATAACCACATATATCTGATAGTAATGGAATACGATCAAACTAATGACACTATCTGAAACATCTTCTTTATTTACGGTAGCCAGTATGGTTAGTATGTTGGCAGCACTTTATGTGCAAGCAATTATTTGCAGAAAATTTTATATTGTGCAGATCGGTCATAGCCAACATCACGAAAATAAAGCCTCCGAAACGTTGATGAAAACCTCACTCATTAATCATTTTAATCAATATTTTAGCCACTGAAATAACTACATACCTCTTTTATTCACAGGATTTGGGATCGAAAAGAGTTTCTATACCTAGTTTAGGAGAACTTCTTCCAGAATTTTTTTACATTTGTAGTTGCTTCACCTGTTGAGAACAATAACAACAAGTTGTTGTTGTTGTTGTTAGTTGTCGTCTGTTGTCTGTTTCTTTGGAGTTATGGTCTTCTATCCACGTGCTCGAACTTGTTAAGAAGAACCCTAAACATGAGTGCTGAAAATGATGTGGATTTCGCGGAGCCGCAAAGAGTGACTAGGAAACGAGCAGCCTCAAGCACGGTCGATAATGCTATGGAAGTTGAATATCGTGGTATCGCTGGCGAGAAATCTCAAAATGCCCCTCTTAAGAAGAAACAACGCAGTGCTGTAGATGTACGCAAGGTTCCGGTGCCGGCCCACAGATATACCCCTCTTAAAGAGAGTTGGTTAAAAATTTTCACCCCCATCGTCGAAAATCTACAGCTTCAAGTGCGGTTCAATTTGAAGTCAAGGAACGTGGAAATTAGATCCTCTTCTGAAACGCCAGACATTGCCAACCTTCAGAAAGCTGCAGACTTTGTTAGGGCTTTTGTTTACGGATTTGAAGTTGAAGACGCTTTGGCACTTCTTCGGCTGGACAATCTTTTCATTGAAACATTTGAAATCAAAGATGTGAAGACGTTGCGAGGTGATCACTTATCAAGAGCAATTGGTCGCTTGGCAGGCAAAGGAGGCCGAACCAAATTTACAATTGAAAATGTTACCAAAACTCGTATTGTTCTTGCTGAATCTAAAATACACATCCTAGGGTCTTATCAAAATATTCAAGTTGCAATGAAGGCTGTATGTAATTTAATTTTGGGTAGTCCTCCATCCAAAGTGTATGGTCAATTACGAAATGTCGCCAGCAGGTTGGGCGAGAGACTTTGATTAGAAACATTTTGTATGTGAATTATTGTATCTGTAAGTTGTAAATATCTTTGTAATTTTTCTTTTTTTCATTACTGGCTTCTTGTAAATTCAGGAACAAATGCAGTTCTGTACCGCAATGAACAATACTTTGTTTAATGATTCGGTTTATTCCATCTTTTGGTATATAATTGTGATGAGCATTAACTGATAATGAATAAAATGTAACTATTACATATTTGTTTCTTTAGTAAAACCTTATGTGACGTGCATAGCTTTAAACAGACTAAATATTATAGAGACAGCAATTCTAATGGCCAAAACCAAGTATCATCCAACAGTGAGGATAGAAATACTGGATTTGTTTCTTAATACTTTGGAAGGAAATTGCTCTTAGCTCTTAAAATAGATCACATTTAAAATATTGTGGTGTAATAAAATACAATAGTAAAATATATGTATAAAAAATTAGACACAGACTTAGATATAAAACAAAAATCAATACAAAAAGCTAGTTCTCAGTATTATTGTCACACATAAAATACTTTGCTTCATCAAAAAATAAGTCAAATTTAAAACTAGATTAACTAATATTCCCTAACAATTTAAGAAGCCCTGGTATAGGCAGTCAACTGAAACTAAGCAAACAAACATAAAGATCACAGGCATCAAAATTTCTTAAAGAGGGCAAAATCATCCTCCACAAATCAATGACTCAAAGAGTCAACTTGCTAAGATAACGTATGATATCTGCATCACATCCATGTAACTCCAGTTGCCGACAAGCATGACTTGGCAATTCATTATGACATGCAGCTACCTGCAAAATAAATCAAAATTATACTTGTGGCTCAAATAATTTAATTCCACAAGAAAGAACAATTTCAAAGTCAACAATGCTTAAACACTTACTAATGCTTTGTAAGACTGGAGTTTACTTCCAATTCCTTTAAGTACACTTTCCATGAAAAGCAGCAAGCTATGATCACTTGGAAAATCACGGACATTATTACCAATTGCGGCAAGGAGACGCCCATGATAAGCTGGACCAAGTAACTGCTCAGAATTTACATCTAAGATTGTTACACTATTCTGGAAGGAGGAAAAGGAAAAGAAAGTTAATTGGTTAGGATAATTTGAAACATATGAATAGGAAATTTCTCAATCAGTAGTATTGCATCTTACTTTATCTCTGGGACTGATCATATCATGAATGGATAGTCTTTCTGGAATACACATTCCAATTAGTTGATAACTTGCAATATGAGCACTCACCAAAATGCCCTGGTGCCATCTGAAATATAAGAAACCAAAATAAAATTAGATAAGAAAAATAAAAAAAGGTTTTGAGGTAAAATCTAACAAACCTCAACACACGAAGACCATTCTCATCCAGTGGTGGTATGAGAGGACTCAAGGCACTCATAACGCGCTGAACTCTGCGCTCTGATGAGGAGTCACCAGTTAAAACAAGGGTTCTGCCAGTAAGTATGGAGTATATAACATGTTGGGCAGCTGATCTATAGGTCCAAAAGAACTTCAGAAGTCGATGACCTGAGTAGAGGAAGTTCAAGTAAAGTTCACCAGTCATTGACAACAGTCAGACCACATTTGCATTAGTAGATCAGCTGATTACCTGACTTGGCAGTTAACTTATGCCGGGTCCAGAGACAATGATTCCAAGCAACACCAAGTGGCAATGTTTCCTCAGTGCTGCCAATGCTCCAGTTATCATCACTGTGAAGTGCTTCTAAAATATCATGAAAACTTTCACTGCCATTGCTGCTACTACTGTCACTACTTGAATACTGAACTCCATTTTCACTAGAATGATTAAGAGTATCTGCAGAGATGCAATTTTGAGATGAACTATCAAGTATCGAATGAAAATCCTCTCTGCACTCTGGTTGAGAAGAGCTCACTGAAATATTTGTGATTGTATGGACACTTTCATGTGAAACTACTCTCTTTTGGTTTGACCCCAAGGCATTGTCTGAAGATAAATCAGAAGAAGCTTGAATTGAAGAGGTGAGAGAACTATTTTTCTGTGAGGGAGGTAAGACAGCATCAGAGGGTGAATCACTGAAGGAATGATAGCTGCTGCTCCCTTCATTGCCACTTGTTGCCTAGTGAGATGATAAAAAATAAATTTGTCAGTTTAAACAAAGTGAAAAGATTGATAAAACAATAAATACAAAATAGGCAATTTTATCTTGGATTGCTTGGGTGGGTACAGACCTCCTTAGAACTGGATCTTTCCACTTGGTCACACTCTTGATCATCATAGGATGGCATAGAGGCATCTACGGATCCTATAGAAATGGCTTTAAGTAGCTGAAGGTACTCTGGTATTTCAATAGCTTCCCAAGCATTAGTTGAGTTATGTGTTTCCTTTTTCGATGCAGGGTCACTCTATTAAAGAAAAAACATCATCATATAATTTATATATCTATGTATACATTTTAATTGCTAAACCAACATATGCAAGTATCATGAGCAAACCTGTGAAAAAGAAATTGAAGGGAAATGACCCAGAGATGCACTGAGCTCGCAAGATCCAAAGAGATGAAGTATTTTTAACAGTAATGAAAGGGCAGAAGCTATGCCCCAAGGAGAGAGGACAGGTATTGGGCGCAGCTGTTTCTCCAACATACAAATGTTGTCATGCAAGTTCACTTGTCTTCTGTATGATGTTGATGATATGAGCGTTAGATAGTCCTGAATTTCTTTTGGAGCAGGAGACTCATTACTGAATGTAAAGGCATTATGCCAATGGTCAACAGCAGAAAGAGAATAATCAACGTTAACCTGGTGTAAAAAAGGAATTGTAGCAGTAAATTAATATTGCAAAATAATTAAGTAACAATATTGAACATATTTGATTGAAACAATATTGTATGAGTATATTTTAAGATTTTAAAAGTAATCATTACATACCAATGAGGCTTCAACAGCATTCAGCATAAAACTGAATTCCTCAAATTGCTGTGTCGAATGTCCTTGCTGAATACTCAAGTTTGATGTGATATCTGCAAGATTGTCTCCACTCTTTTCCTTTAAGAAAAAAAAAAAAGTTAATTAACCTGTATGAACTTTAATGTGACAGCTTTACAGTAGAGTTCACTGAATGGCAAGTCCATCACATTTTGAAATTCTTGTTACTTACTTGAGTTGTATCATTATAGCTGGCTTGCATATTTTTTATATTTGATAAAACAGTTAATATTTCATTCCTAAAATGCTGACGATTATTCACCTTAATGGTTTCTGTTAGCTGCAAAAATTGATCCCTCAACTGTGGAAATATTTTAGACAGTTTTTGATTGTTTGAGCTAACATATGCAACACAAAGAGGGCGGACAAATCCTCTTGCATGTAGATCATAGAGGGTGAAGTAATGCACATAAGCATGACGTGTGTGTGAAACATGAGTCTGAAGAGTTTGGGTGTCTTGACAGATGCAAAATTGACCCCTGAAACCAAAAGATGGGTAAAATAAATCCATTCTTTTCCTGAGCACAAAAAAAGGAATAATAAAAAAAAATCACTGTACCCTGGGTTTGCTTGGTAGTCAACTGACATTATTCGCATAATGAAACTATTTACATCAATCTTTTCATCATATTGAACATATGACGGCACTGTGAACAGTGCAACAGGGCCTTTTACTTCAGAGAATTCAGCAAATATAATAAAATCTTCTTCTTCACATAGACACATATCCTGAAAAAACAATCGGAAGTTATTAGGGAGAGGAAATCAATTTCAAGAGTCGATATGTGAAAAATTATTTTGAAATTCTTGTGGGACAACTTTTGTAAAGAAAAGCAGGGCCACATCATCTACTGTTAATGAGATGACAATGAGAGACTACATAGGAACAGCGACTTACCTCTGATGAAAGAAGAGGGGTAGGAATGTTTTTGTTAAATAATCTTTGTTTCTTAAAATTAGCTGATACATTATCCTCTACATAAGCAAATCCAAAAGCTACAAGATCTGCATATGTAACAGCCATTTCTAGGGACTAATTCAGTGATTTAAAGCTGTCAAACTGTCAAACTGTGAGGGATGGAAATCTTGTTCTTTTCTCCATTATTTATAAAATTCATTATACAAAATAGGAATGTAGTAAAAGGGTGTTGGCAGTTATTCTTATTCTGAACAGGGCCCAGCCAATGCATAGTTGAGGTCCGTGCAATCTAACCGTGAGTCATGGTCTGACTAACTCTTGCCATTATCAACTAGCTTGTTGCTGCCCCGCCTCCAGTAGAAATTTCAGAACATCACTTGACAGTAAACACAAAACATTTTAAACGTTAAGTCGTCAAAATAAATGTGAGTAGGGTGTGATCAGCTGTACTGTAACACTGTTGTTTATGCAGACAACAAAAGGATTTGAGGAGGGCAAATAATGAAAACAAGATTAAAAGCACTACCACCGCCTTTACAAAGTGAACTAGAGCAGACCGTTTTTGATCTGTTGTCATGCAAGGCGGTTATCAGCTGAGTTATGGCGTCGTCCTTGTGAAATTGTGAACGTTTGATGTTGAACTATTTTTTTACACGAAACAGAGATGGATTTAATGTTTTCCATTCAGACTGAGTGTATTGTCACCTACCAGTGAATTTCTTTCTCCACTTGTATTTGTGTGGTAAGTTAAGTGTTACGTGGTAATAAGGGTATCTATGTTAGGCTTAAGAACTTTCTATCTTCATCTCATTCAAGTTCTAAAATAATAACAATAACAATGAACATTGCTAATTAAAAGTAAGGATTTTGGTGGCTGTAAAACAAATAGCAGATAACTGGGACAAAACAGTGGCATCTAAAAGTATCTGTATACTTTGTCGTGGTAGCTATAATGATGTAGCTTGGCATTCACTCTTAATAAATCTATAGATGGCGTACATATGTTTGTTTCTGTCACTGACAGGTCTTTGTTTTTTTTTTAATAGCCATCTTCAATTCAGGCCGTTGTTTCCTTATTCCAACACAGAATTCATGTTCTATAAAATAAACCAAGTTTACTTCGACAGCCTCTGTTATCTAATCGCTGTCTTTTTCATTTGTGTTAATTTTGTTATTTCTTTAATATAAGGTTCCAGTTTTTGAAATGTTGTTTTCATTTCCCATGCATTAAGAAATTTGTCTTTGTTATTTTTATACTCATTCATTGTACAACATAGGCTGAATAGAACAAAAAATACTTACATAACTCCCACTAGGATATAATAATGGACCTTCGAACATAGCTTTACTTCACTTAATTCACTTCAACTTGGCGGCGGAGCTAGTCAGTCCACTCTTCTCTCAACTGCTGCTAGATCTGTGTTCTGTTGAAAACACACCAACTCTTGCAGCCGATGCACTTAGGATGATTGTCAGTGATAACAGACCTCTGGGGCTGGGCCTCCACTTATCAGCTGTTTAATTATTCTCTCTCTTTTCTAACGTTTTCTGCCCCCTCCTTTCTAAGGTAGTAGATACAAAAACAAAAATGAAGATCATTTGGTCTCTTTGGCTCCCTCCTCGCTGTCGCATCGCGGCGTGGAGATGCCTTCGCCTTTGGTATTTACAACAACGTCACGTTCGATTTCGCCTCCCTCCCCCCCATGCGATAGCTCTTCGTCGCGTCTCCCTCCCCCTCCCCCGTCCCCGCCATTTTTATCCCCGCGTCTTGCCAGCAATCCACCCACGAGCCACCTGTCTTCGCCCCCCCTGGCCCCTCGGGGAGGCCACTAGGTCCGCGCCGGGCAGGGGAGGGGGCGTTTCTCTATCACATCACCACCTCCCTCGCCCCCTCCCCGGCTGTAAGCAATGCATCACTTTTCCTCTAATCTCCCTTCAGCACCCGCGGGATATGGCGCGCCGTGTCCATGTCCAGGTCCACCGGGTGACACCACCGCTCTGCTGACATTGGCTGACATCCTCCCCTCGTTTCTTTGTCGACAGGTTGCTGATCCTTGACGCTTAGCGGTCCACCAAGGAGAGGAATGCCATGCTCGGGTAAGCCGTAAGAGTTAGGATGGCGGGTGCCTAGCGCGCGGATGACGCGAGGCGCGGACCAGGCAGAAGGAGATATCGGCTTAGACATGCCCCGGCCTTAGGCTCTCGTGCACGGCCATGGCGGGGGCCCATGGCGGGGCCGGCCGCGGGGCCCGCCCCCTAGGCCAGCCATGAGGCCAGCGGGCCAGCCCGCCGGCAGACATGGCTAGCGCGGCGTGCGGCTGCTCCAACATCTCCATCATGCAGTTGTTCCACCAGCTCAAGCAGGACTTCCCCGCCGCTCCCGACGAGGTGGTCATGCAGTGCATCTGGCAGGTACCTGCCGCCTGTGGAGCCTCCCGTCGAGGGGTACTTCACTACGAAAACATCAGTGTACACCCTCAAACAAAATCAGAAAAAATACCAGAATGTTCGGTGTACGCTTGAATTTCTAGTGAAGTACCCCTCGCCTCCCGTGTGCTGTGACGCCTCCCGCGTAGCCTCGCTCGCCAGACCACCCCCGCCCTCTGCTGTTAACCACCCCCGCTAGCGCCCCCCGCTCGCTGGCATGCCTTGCCTTGCGCTGCACGCCGTCTCTGTCTGTGGAGTGTGGCGTAGTCGAACACTCGGGCAGAGCCCAAGCTGGTTAGTGACTGGAGTTGCTGTGAATTTTCGCTGCTTTGAGGAATCTTTATATCCCTTTTCTTTGAAAGCCATTGCTGGCGTGGCGTTGCGGCCGTCTAAACAAGCCTGTCGGCCTGTCCGAAACCGTCCCAAACAAAGCGCGGCCGGCCGCGGCGCCGCGCCCGCGCCCGGCAAGCCCCACCGCCCGAGACCCGCGCGCGTCCAGAAACTGGCCCCCGCTGTGTTTGTGTGGGGTGGGTGGAGGGACGGCTGGAGAGAACCCACAGGTCCCCGCCGAGCCAGACGGCCAGGCCAGGCGTTGACCCCCTCCGCTCGCGGGGGGGCCGCGGGGGCCGCTTGGCTCGGCTTATCGAAACACTCTGTACGGCGGAACGGCACATTCCTGGCAAGGCGGCCAGGTGTGTAGGCCGAGGGGAGGGCCGGGCGCCAAGTCTCGGCTGTCGTCCCGGGGTGCGGCGGGGCGGGACGCGGCGGGGAGGACTGCCCGTGGGTCTGCCGCCCCCGCCGCCCGACCGCCACAGGCAACAGCGCAGGACCGCGGGCTGGTCGCGGGCTGGTCGCGCGCGGCCTCTGCAGAGCCGGCAAGAGCCGGCGGAGCAGAGCGCCAGTGCGCCGCGAGGCCCGGGCCCGCCCTGTCGCGAGTGCTGTGAGAGCCCCGCGGCCCGCGACCCGCCCGCGAACCGCCCCCCTCCCCGCCATGCGCGCGACGTGAGTGCAGGCCGGGCAGTGCGTGCGGCCGGGCCCCCATCCGCGTGTGTTGACGATGACCCTGTCTGTTTGCAGCACGCGCACGACAAGGAGGCCTGCGAGCGCGCGCTCCAGGGCCTTGATGGTGCCTTCCTGGTGCACACGTACCCGTCGGCCCTGACGGCCCTCATGACCGGCGCCACGAGGATGCCAATGCCTGGCGCCATGGGTCGCCCTATGCCAGGGCAGGGGCCCGTCGCGGGGGCCGCCCCCAACCACGTCGTCGTCGCCGCTCCGGGCCACGGCAAGGGCCACGCCAAGGGCCTGGGCACCGAGGCGCTCGGCGGCGACCACCCCAGCAGTGCGGAGGCGCGGGGGCTCCACCGGCCGCCCCGCAAGATGCGGCCCGCACCGCCACCGCCGGTCCAGGCCGCCGTCACACCGCCGCAGACTCCGCCCCCGCGGCTGCGGCCAGCGCCGCCGCCGCCCCCGGGCCCGCCCTCGCCGAGCAGAGTGAACGGGCCTAGTGATCAAGTGACTGTGCTGGATGTGAACTGCAGCGTGTCTCGCGGCGCGCCGCCCCCGGGCACGCCCCCCGGCCCGCCCCCGGGGCCGCCTCTAGGGTCGCCGGCGCCGCCCCGGCGCATGACCACCATGGACATCCAGCCCGCGGCGCCCTTCGGGGTGGGGGTGGTGCCGCCGCGGTCCTACACGTCGGTGAACCTGACGCTGCGCCCGCCCGCGGCGGACCAGCCGCCCATCGACATCCACTCGGGCCGAGACTCGGGGGGCTCCAGCCTCACGTACTCGACCTCGTCCTACGACCAGCGCCAGGGCTACCAGTCGCAGCTGCAGATCCGCATCGGCCCCAACGGCCTCGGCAGCGTGTCGGCCATGCGGACCCGCGCGCCCGCGCCCCCGGCGGTCGCCCCGCCCGCCGCGCCCGTCGTCGCGACCCCTGCCCCTGCTCCGCGCCCTCCGCCGCGCCGGCTCATGAGCCCGCTGGCCGAGGTCGAGGAGCAGCTGCGGAGGCCGGCCGCCTCCAGAGAGGACCTGGAGAGGGCGGTCATGGCCATGGGCGGCGCCCAGCTCAGCCCGGACATGAGAGGTGAGTCTACGGGGTGCTTAGGGAGCATCCGGAAAGTACGTCCGTCATTCCAGCCCGTTCAAGTCGAGCCTGTGCAATCTCTCATAGCCTTTGATACTTAGGCAAAGTTTTGACTGCAGTGCATGCGTGTACTGCGGGGTGGGCTGGCCTACCCCGAGTTTCGCAGGCGCCAAACTTCCGTAATTTGCCGTATGAATCCGCGCGAATAAACGGACGTACTTTCTGGACGACCCCTTTATACACAGCTGTTGTTGAGTTGGCCGGGTAAGATGCATGGGGCGACTTTTGCAAGCCTCGCGGAATGTTAGGTCTGACTGGACCGGCGAGCAGTCTGGGCAGAGAGACAGTCGTGGCGTCGCCTCCAGTCAGTGATGTGCTGCGAGGATGGCGAAATGACGAGCCCTTCGGACCCCAATTATTGCTGCTCTCGCAATGAAGGTAAATCCTCCATCAGATTCAGAGGCTGTTCGCGCTGAACCCGATAGCCGCAGTAAACCCCCGAGCTGATACTATGTAGAGGGCGGACGCCGCAATCTAATCCCGCGCGCTGAACGCCCGGATGTTCCCTCTCGACTCGCACCGCGTGTGCTGTGGGCGCATCGTGCGTCAAATGTCAAAACCACTTCAGTCAGTTTTATTTTTTTTTCATTTATTTTTTTACCCGCCAACAAGCTTGCCGCCTTGAAACGAACGTCAAGGTTGCGAGTTTAGGGAGCAGCTAAGGGGGGTTGTTCGGGAACCGTAATTATTTCACCGCGACCCGAAGCAGCGTTTTGCATTGTTGTTGTTGTTGTTGTTGTTTGCCTCTTGTCTTTTTGGCGCGCGCGGGCTTTCTTTCACGCGCGCGAGCACCTCCTCCCGGTTGACATGTGCAGAGATGAGGTCTTGGGGGTCTTCGGTCACCTCCCCACCCCACCCTCCCCTCCCTCGTGGCGTGGCGCGGCGCGGCGCGGGCGTTACGTCGTTCGTCACACGGCGTTACGATGCGACGTGACGGCGGCCTAATGAGGTCCGCGGTGACAGCTGTGTAACGTCTGCAGGAGCGGCCAGCGTCACGCCGCGTCGCACACTGCAAAGAAAAAGGAATAGTAAAAATGTCCTTAGAATGACGAATATTAGAGCTACTCTGGTTTACAAGCGTCACGGATTTCTTTGTTGACATCCCCATGTGTTGGTACCGGGTGTTTCATAAAAGACACAGGTGCGGGCGGGTTTGCGCTCTGCCGCCGTAAGGCGCCCCTTGGGTAGGCAAACCTGCCCGCACCTGTGTCTTGTATGAATTCATACACCCGGTACTACATGAGACTCACATACATCCGAGAAGGACATATTCAAATTCTTCATGATATCTTTTCCTTGAGGACGTCTTTATTTTTACAGTGTGGGTTGCGTCGGTATGCGACCGGCGCCGGCGGCCCGGCCCAACGGGGCCTTCAAACTTTATCGTTTGCACGTTTTTTCTCTGCTCTGGGCACGACAGACGTCAGGGTGGTGGTGAGTTAGTTGCGCGCTCAACGCTGCTGCTCAGTAAAAGTACAGCGCTCAAAATCTAACGGAAACGCGCGCTCTTGATCCGAACCTAGAACGGACGTGCTCGTTTTAACCGAGCATCATTCAAGATCACGTGAGGTGAGGGCTTGTCCTTGACCCAGTCCTTATCTTTCTTGTGGCCACACGTTACTCGAAGCTCGAGGAAGGGAGGAAGTCGAGGAAACGGGGTACTCCAAAGTCCAAAAGGTCCGCTCTAGCCCAGGGCAAAGAACTCATAGGAGAAATTCGAAAACGGAAGAGAGACACCATCAGCTTTAGGAACTGTCCTGGCGTTTTGGACTTTCGCCCCGTATTTAAGTGCCTTCAGGTGCAGGTGACATCCGTTTTTGTTCTTTGCTTTCCGCTTCAGGAGCCGACCTATACCCAGTGGGCCGTTTGTTTGGTTTCTACCCGTTCCTCGCGGCTGCACGTATTACCAACTCACACGTGGCCCAAACTGTCAGTGGAACAGGTGTGTGTGTGTAGGGGGAGGGGGGGCAGGAACGCCGGCCGGGTCGGAGTACAACTCTTCCCCTCCTCCTTTCACTCTAGGGCCGGGGCGGCCTGCGGTGCGAGAGAGAGAGGGGTGCTCGCCGGGCAGCCCCGCCGCGCGGCTGATCCGGTCCGATGTCCGATTGGAATTGAATACCGTTCGCGGCGTGCCTCGGTAGCGCGCTGTTTAGTCTCGAGCCGCGTCGCTACCCGCGCGCACACTCGGTCCACTGCAGCCGCGGGGTCCGCGTCGTAGGAGTCCGCGAGCGAGCGCCATGGCCGACGCCGCGGCCCCGGGCAGCTGCTCCGGGGGACTGTCCCGACCCCCCGTCGCCCCTGCCCCACCCCAGACGAGCCCCTCCCCCTCGGACGCGCCGCCGCCCCCGCCCCGGGTGCAGCCCCCAGCACCGCCACCCCCGCGGCCGCGGCCGCGACCTCCACGCCGTCTGGTGCGGCAGGCGGCCACGGACCGCGACGAGGACCCGAAGGACCTCGCTCCCGAGTAAGGGCACCCGACGACCACACCGCGGTGGGCCAGGACGCGGGACGGGGGACGGGGGGTGGACGGCACGGCGCCGTCGGTTTGAGCGGCCGCGCGCGCGCGCTCCGCGAAGAACCGCGCCAGAACGCATACCACACCACGCCACGCGGCTGATAAGAACTGATAAGCAGGTGATTGGCGTGGGCGCTCGTGATAAGCACCAGGACGAGAAGGCGTATATCTCCCCCAGCGACGCGCAGCCCATGCCGCTCAACACGCCACAGGCGCGGCGGCGCAAAAAGGCTTGGAGCGCCTGACGGCCGCGCCGGGCGCGCGAAACTTTGAATATTCATTATTCGCATGACAGCGTCACTCTTGTTGTCGTATGACAATCCCGCCCTGCTGTGCACGATTTCTTCATCTCCCTCATCATCATACGGGGCAGAGATGATGGATTCATTATCATGTCGGCACTCTTGTATGCCCCAAAGACTTTTTCGAGTATACGCCAAATTTGCCATGCCAATAATTGGCCGTGCTGACGTCTCCCCCCGAGCGAGGGGGTGTCGCTCTCCGGTTGAGGCGTGTTATACTACCGCGCTTCTTTGACAGCTGTGTCGTGCGGCTGACGCAATAACCTGCTCGCCCTCGCCGTGCCCCTCACGCCCCCCGCCCCCCGTGACAGCCCGCCCGCCGGCCCGTGTCGTGTTGTGGCGTGTCGAATGCCGGCCACCAACAGCTGGCCCGAATGGGGAGGCCGGATGAGGTTTTCCGAACACCTCCCCTGAGCACGCCGTCGTCGCCGTTGGACCTCTCCCGCCGCGCTCGCCTGAGAACACCACCGCCGCCGGTCGGCCCGGAGCGCCCGGCGGGGTAGGCAGCCGCCGGTCTCTCGCGCGCGCTTGTGCGGCAGCGGGCCTACCCCGCCGGGCGCTCCCTCCTCCTCCTCGCCTGGCGGCGGCGCCACGCGCGCGCTCCAGCCGACCGGCTCCTGGACGCGTGTTGACAAACGGACGTTGAGGGCACGATGACGCAGATTTACTCGTTTTCTCACGACTCGAAGAAAGCTCAGGCTGTTAGTGAGTTGTTGTCCTACTGCGCGCGTGACGGGGACGACTGACTGGCGAGAGAGGGAATAGAAGGTCACTTGTTCTGTGGGAACGTAACCGGGACTGACGCACGTGAAACGTTTCATGTGAATTTTTAACGTTTCATGTGAATTTTATAACTGTCTTCAAACTCGGCTATAGCAACAATAATTTTTACTGGGATAGCATTTTACAATTCGGATAGGATCGGTAGTATTGCTTGGGGGAGGGAAGGACCAATCAACTGCAAGAATCGCCTGGGTCAACATGCACGTGCTCCCAACTTTGATTGTCAACTCACATCCAGTAGCACATCCCCCCCCCCCCTTCCACCCTTACCCAGATCGGCTCGCGTCCCCCTCTTCTACCTCCCGCCTCTTCCAGACCGCCGCCCTCTGCCGTCTCCAGCAAGGTCTCCCGGCTGACGGGGGCCTCGGCGGTCGCCGCCGCCTCCGCCATCCTGCAGCGGCAGCTCAGCGAGAGGACCGTCTTCATAGCCGACTCCACCGTCAACCTGTTCGGTACTACACCACTTCTGGAGGGGGTCTCCGCGTTGCCAGTTGCTCTGCGGGCGGCTGCCTGACCACGGACCTGGGGGTCGGTGACGGGGTGGGTGGGTGGGTTTCGTCGTTCTGCATCTTTCCTTCGGGAAGGCTCATCCGGCTCGTGTGGCTTCCTGTTCTCCCCCCTTCCCCTCTCTCGGCCACCCCCGTAAGCCAATCCGCCCGTCCGCCCCTGCTCTCTGTGCGCTGCGGGTGCAGTCAGGTGTTTGGCAGAGGTGGGCTCCGCGGCGGTGTCGGCCGAGCGAGCCGTGCGGGGCGGAGCGAGAGGCCACTAAATCATCCTATAAGTAACAGCCCTGCAGGTGCCAGGAATGCGCGGGAGGCACGCTGCCGGTGCTGCTGGGGCTGGGCTGGTGCTGGTGGCGATGGTGCTCGCGCTGGCGAGGAGCAGGGAGGAGACCGTCGTCGGCGTCGGTGGGGTAGGAGACGTCGTCGACGCCGAGGTGCGACTCTCTCCTCGCGCTCCCCCGCCGCCGCCGCTACTGCTGCCGCTCTCGCTCTCGGTGCCGCGCGAGTGTCACGCGCACGCACACGACGAGACGCACGGGGCGGTTAAAGCGATGGCTAAATTTGTTGCCTACCTTCCAGGCGTCATCAACCCTTCTGAAATAGACGGCCTTCCCATCGGCCAAGTTCTATAAACAGACGGGATAGCTCCGCCGGTGGGGGTGGGATTTGGGGAGGGGGGAGGTTGTTTTCATACCATGTTATCCTCTCTCTCACCCGCCCGCGCCGCTCCTCCTCCTACAACCCGTGAAAGCGTTCCCTTTTATTTTATTTTTTTCTTTGGTTCTTTATTTTTTTCGCGTCCTGCGCCAAAAGCCAGCAGCAGCAAGTATGCGGGCCGTAGTGTTTCTCTTGTAGCGCCTGGTGTAGCCTACGTGCGCGCGCGGCCCGGCCGCCGCCGCGGAGGAGGAGGAGGTCATCAAGAGTGAATTCCTCTGCCTCGCCCCAAGCCGATGCTAACACTGTGTGTCGTGGGCGCGAGTGCTTATAGCATGCTTATGCTTGTTGAGCCCCTCTGGCAGTGGCAGTTCGCCGCGGGACGCGACACCTACACATAGACCGAATGCCGTCTGTGCTTTCAACCATTTTTATTTTGCATTGTATCTTTTTGGTGTGGGTGAAGGACACGATACAATGTTTACGATACAAGGTCACCAGTGCCATCGGAGGCTTCCCAGGGGCCGGGCGGGGGAGTGGGGGGGTTGTCAGCTGCTGGAAGTGGGTCCTAGTCATTGCAACGCTACACTGTGCAGTCGAGTGGGCAAGCATGCCCCCCCCCCCCCCCCCCGGCCATCGGGTCGCGCCGCGCCGTGCGGTCCGCGCGTCCGCGAGTATTTTTGAATGAGCGCGAGAGTAATGTGGCTTCACGGGACGGAGAGAGAGAGAGGAGTGAAAGGGGGCGGGGGGATAGGGTCGGGTAGTTGCAGAGGGTGGGGCTAGATAGAGCGAGATAGGAGGGGGCGACCGTTTGGCCGCCCCGCAGCCCAGGGCAGGACGCTTCATTCATCCCCGCAGCAGATCTACAATTTCAGTTTGGCATTCTCGGTCCTCCTGCGCCATGTCCCGGCCCTGCAGAGCAACGACCCGGCATTGGCTCGTTAGTGCCTGAAAAAAGGGGGGGTGGAGTGGACTTGATAGGGAGGGTCAAGAGACATGGCCCTCTCCAAAAAGTTGTCTAAAAAAAGTACAGTTTTTGTACATCGTTAATGAACGAGTTTTAATAAGCATGGGTTATCTCTTAGCACATTGCATTCGACTCAACGTAGTAGTACATTCAGATTAAGTGTGTCGTGACTCGTGACTTTCCCGGCAGCAATGCTCTAACTCGCAGTGTCCTCTGTTTCAGAACACCTGGTGCGCCAGCTGGAACGCCGCACACTTCTTGAGACTGAGCTAGAGAAGGAGCGATTCAAGCTCCAGATGATGCAGAGGGAGGTTTTGGAAATGGAGAGAGACCTAGAGCGGCGCACAGCTCAAGTCAGGCCGCGCGCCCCTCCCGCTCTTCCTGTGGTTAGTATCAATTTTCTTTGTTATGTGATCTGGTTCTGTATGCTCTGTATAAGGTCTCCGAAAAGTTTCATGAGGATCATTGTTTCAGATGGAGAAAGTTCAGAGATTGCGGACAGAAATACAGACACTCCAAGAAGTATGCACACGCATGACAAATGAAGTAGATGCTAAAAGTCCAGATTCACGTAAGTTGGATGGATTCAAAGCTGATAAAATCTGGTCCAGTGCTGCATAGCAGTGTCTCTCTGTATTAGTTTGCATCACCAGCAGCTATGTAGATAGATTTCAAATGATAGAGTTTCAGCTTCCTGTTTCTCTACTGGATTTTTCACTTTTAGTCCCACATGACCATCCATATAATGCATTAAAGGCGGTAAATTTTAGTCTCAACCCCTTACAATTTTGCATCTTGATGACATTTTAGTGTCTGCAATAGTGTGAATATTTTAGACAGTCCTCTAAAGACTGTCTCTACCAGATGGCAAAGTCCCCTCCCCCTCCTTATTCTCTATATTTTAGTTACTTTTAAAAGGCACAAAAATGAATTTCACTTCTGGAAAAGTGCTAAGATTTCTACCTTTTTGTTTCTAGTGTTTAAGCACCTAACTTGACCACTGTTCCGCTACTTTCCTTGAAAAGGTTTCCCAAGTTCTTCTCCTTCTCAGACCTTTCAGCTTTATATTGCCAAGAGCAGTGCTCATGTGTTGTTTGGCATCTTAAGCTTGATATTCAATTTTATCATTGTTCTGTTTTATGCTTGTTTAGCTTATGAATTTTCAAAGTTTGTTATTTTAAAAATTGGAATCTTTGTGAGAGCAACAATTTTATTTAGAAGTTTTTGATCCTTGCAAATTTTTGGTTAAATTACTAGCATTGCATTACATATGGTGTATATTTGTTGCAGGGCCAGCAGAAGGAAGCAGCGCTGAGCCTGGCTGGACTTGCCAAACTTGTACATTCCGTAACCATTATCTCTTGGAGGTATGCGAGGAGTGTGATGTTCCTCGCATTCGACTAGGTAGTGAAAGCGCTGGGGCGCAAAGTGTGTTCAGTGTTCCAGCTGGATTGCATGCCTTACGTCTGCCTGGCATTCTACCCGCCCTTGCTTCTCCTGCGCTCGAATCAGCTCTCGCACCCCTCTCACTAAGTAGCAGTCCCAGTGCCCTGTGTGTTCCTAACATGCTCACCCCATTACCCAGTCCTGGACGCGAGGACTAGACAGTTATATTTTCCTGTGATAAATTAAACTTCACACGAACATCACAAATGGAGTTATAATCTTCTGACTGTCTTTGTGTGTAAAATGTGATTTTTATTGGTTTTGTTTTGTGAACTCTCACACATATTGTAAGGCTTAAGTTAAGTAAATATTTTTGCTGTGAAGGTTAAGGCCTCTTGCCATTCCCTGATTTTAGTAAATCTGATCTGGTAATTTTATTATCTTAAGCTATTGGGAGCCACTTTAATTGTTCCCTATTGTTCAAAAAATCAAATTAATTTATATTACCAGAAATGACAATTTAAGTGCCTTCTGCAGAATCAAAATTAATTTATGGGTCATAGAACCAACAGTTATAAGGTATCCTTGGAAATGTGCAAGTATTCATGTGTTTTCTGAAGTGTTAGTTTTATATTATTCCCTTGAGATTGTAAAGTTGTTGGTTTTTAGTCATTTTCATTGAATTTGAAGTAGGAGAATTTTGTGTTTGGAGTCAAGCTTGCATGGAATGTGATTTACAAACAATAATTTTTTATAGACTGCATAGGAATCTAGTGGCCTACAACATTGTATTGTACTCTGTTATAACATTCTAACAAATAATTGTGAGTTGTGAGACATAGCTTTGTGTTATAAGAAAATTTCTATGTATTGGTTTGGATCACCATTGATACTATGAGACTAAAAACCTTGTTTTAATTGGTGTGCCTTGATTTCCAATAGAGTCTGAATTTGTTATTAAACCAGACCCATTGTTACTTAATGAATGTTATTTAGAGTATCTAGTGTTAATATTTTATTTGTTTTCAGTACAGACAGAGCCATTCCTTTTTAATATCACTTTATTTTCTCCTGCACCCCTTCATGATAAAATGCTCATTACATTCCCACACATTTGCTACCATTTGTTGGAGTTAGATGAGATGACATTGTTGTTTTATGTTTTTGAGATTATGGCCTTTGAAAAAGTTTTACCCTTATTCTTCTGGGCTAAAATGTAAAATACCATTCCTTTTCATAAAAGATTTTCCAGTTTTAAATTGTATGCTAAAATCAGAATGTTTATGTGTTTTGTATGTAAGTACAAATAATTTTCCTTACGAGTGTGTTTCTTTAGAGGCAATAAAAATTGCAACTTATGCATGTGTTTTCATTGCATTTCCACTAACTTAAAATGCTCGTGTGCCGCTTTCTTGCGTGGTCAGTTTATGATTTCTATTCTTTCACTATACTTAACTAAAGTCAAGAAGGTTGAAAAACAAGTACATCTGCAGGCCAGCACAGATGCCTTAGGGATTACTATGATTCTTTCTCATTCTCTGATACACTACATGTGTTGCAGGGCAAGCTGCAACTCAAGACATCCACATACGAGTTATACATCATAACTTCTCTAGACGTGAGTGTTTACTGTGAATTTCCTTCACTTTCAATTTCACACTTTTATCATTCTATTCTATGTAATCAGGGTCCGTTCGAGGCTGGGTGGACTGATTGCTGTACACACTGGTAAAAACTGAAACTATCCAGATTGGCCTTCGTTTCTAAGTTAGTTCACAGAGGTTGACATCATTTGTTTCTGGCTTTACAGAGGACTGACCAGTTTTACTCTATAAAACTTCATAACAAGAAATTAATTTGATTTATCAAGCCTTCTTTACTAAGAGATAATTGAGACAGTAAATGTCATATTAGTTGGTATGTATCTATTTAGAAAAGAAGAAGAAATGATAAGAATAAGGAATTAAGAACAGTATTTTTAATGTGATGTTACTACTTTTTCACTGGCCCCTCGTGTTCGGAAGCATAGAATATATAAAAACAGTGTATGAAATATTGAAACAAGTGCTTACTTTCGTGCAAAAATTGGACAGAAACCTCTTCTAATTGAAGAAGAGAAGATTTTGTCATAGGAGCTCCTAATATTGTTAAAGTTGGACAGAAAATTCTATAAAAAACTAATTTTTGAGTGTTTAAGTTGATGTGACATGTGAAGGGGCAAGCTCAATGGCAATCAATTTTACCCCCTTCCTCGCTCAATATTAAATATACATTTGGGGTTCAAACTCATTCTAATTCGTAGAGGTCAACTTGAAGCTATTGCTCATAGCAGTTACCACGACTAAGCAATAAAGAAAAAAAAATACAGAACCTGCTGGCAGGTCCTAGTATATATTTTATTTTAGTAGGGTAAGAGCAGGTAAGAGCCTGACAACAATTTGCACATTTCCAGTGTCTTTGTTTTCTTCCCAGATGATACTTTGTTATTTTTCTAATTTACCTTAGAATACTTGTAATTTTAGGCATTTCTTACAAAAGCCTTGTGTATGTTTACACAGCTCTCTTTCAAAACTTGTAAATGGGTATGATGCTCTTGGAAAATCCTTGAGTGTGACTTTTGATTAACACCTTTGACTTGAAGGAGATGCCCATGTACTGTTAAAATCAAGGCTGTGTTGAGTTTTTCAATCATTGCGACATACCTTATGCTAGTATTGTGATTAATTAAGTTAATGACAGTACTGTGAGACTTATTTACAGAGTTACTTTTACTTTTTGAAATGTTTAATTCCTGTTCATCTGATAAGGTACTAGTGAACTTGCTCATTGGTGAACCAACACTTTTCCCCTTTGAGGTTTTGTGAGGAAGATCTGGAATAACAATATGAGTTGGTAATAAATCTCTTTATCAATTTTAAATGTTTTGCTCACTATACACATCCACCAATACATTGTCCTAATCCTTATTAAATTAAAGTAAATTGTCACTGTAACTTTACACAAAAAGTCCTAACAGAGGGAGTTGTCCGAACAGATTGGGCATTTGGTTTACTATAATAGAATGCACACAAAAATTCACTCCCCACTAGAAAACATACAAAATTGCAGGAAATTGAAGAAACAAGTAAATGAAAATTACTGCCGAAGTAAGAAAAATAACATATTAAACTGCAGTTCCTCTTTCCAAATTCTGTTTGATCTCTGCTGTGTGCTGTCCATAGAATCGTTCCAATTTCTTGTTGAAGTTCATGTTGCGCTCATTGATGTAATCAATATCAGCATCATCGTTGTGCATGCGACGCCGACTGTACTTCTCCCTCTTAGCCACCCTAAAAATGATAAATGAACAATGTTAAAATAGTAAAAAAGATGTTCAATACTTTGTCTCATAGTTATTATAGTACTTACTGTTTTTCAATGTCTTCGACCATTCGATCAATGCCCTGCTTTGTATCCTTAAACTGACCATGTAGAATAGAATTCTTTTCATTGTAGAATGCGTCACCAAGCTTTTGACGTTGTTCATCATATTGTTCCATATCAGGTTTGATCCCTTTGACCAAACGATTGTATTGCCTAATGGTAGCTTGTTCATAGTCAGCAAAACCAGAATCGGGGTTCTTCTTTTTCTTTTTTCTATCTAGCCTTTCTGCATCGGTGGCTGAGATTTCAAGTAGCTTGACTCTATCATAATCTTCACCCTAGAAAGAATGACAGAAAAGCTGATTATAATAAATATCAGATAATAAGGAAGCACTACGATTGAACACGAGTTTTACATTTTCAGCAGCTGCAGTCCTGTCCTCCTCTTCTTTTAAGATCCAGTCCGCTCTCCTTTTGCGAGCTTCCCAGTTAGTGGGCATCTTCTGACGTTTGTCTTCTTCAACAACTTCCTGGTGGTTAAGTTGACGTGCTTCATTCTGAAACCCCATCAAAAAAACCAAGAGTTATAAGAAATAAAAAGGAAAGGTAATTTACCTAGAGTGAGTGAAGAAGGCTGGTAGACAGAATATGGCCTTGATTCAGAGGTTAGGTTATCATATATTTAGTTGTGCGGGTATATCGCGATCGTAAGACATGACATGAGTTCTGCGACAGTTAATTTAGTAACAAAATAGTATTTCAAGATTTATCACGGCATAGAGGTCGTAAATACCCTTTTGAGGTGAAGATCTCGTAGCTTTTTCATTCGCTCTGCCTGTCTGTCAGCAAAGGACATACTGGAGCCACTTGAACTGGAGCTCGATGCCATTGCGATTTGGACGTCACTTCTTCTACTCTACAATTCACAAAAATACTGATTTCCGATAAAGACAAAGATAGACTGTCAAAATTGACCAAAAATACAAGCAAGTATTAGTGGACACTCGTTGTTGCGTGATTAGGATTGTTGTTATTTATGCTATTTCAGTGCTGCCACAACTGCAAAGCAAAAAGGCTCTATCGATGGTTTCATTCTGTATAAATTGCAAAACTTTGATCGCACACCACATTTTTTATGCTCAACGATTTAAAATAAACATTCATAATAAAAACACCAATTCACCTTCTTAAGAAATAAAAATAAAAAGACACTGGTGTAAAACTGAAATGTGCCGTCAGGCGCGCTAAATTCAAATGTGATCGCCAAATCGCCAAAACTGTTCCTTGACTTACTCAAGACTGTTCCCTTGCTCAAGGCTGTTCGAGGCCACCCCGCGAGACGTTAGAATGCCAAGGAGCGTTGCCCTGCATGGTACGGCAAATGTTTGTCTACTTGTCAATTAAATTTCTTGTATTCACTCCCTCTAGCTTTTCTGCTGCTTTGGTTTAAATTAATTGAAAGGCGGCCGGCAATATAATCCGCCTACGGTGGTAAAGCTCGAAATGAGCAGATTTGTTTCTGCTCAAACGTGACGGAATGTTTGAGCTGCTCATTTTTTTTCCCTTCCACGCGCTCTTGCACCGCACCGCGTCGCGCAGAGACAGGCGTGGCTCGGCGAGGCGTGGCGTGTCGGCCGCACGACGCCGGCAAGCTGATGCTGCCCAAGTAAGGCGCGGGGCACGCCGATGCCCGCGACACACGGGGAGAACAGCCCCCACGCCCCGCCACGCCCCGCCACGCCCCGCCACGCCCCGCCACGCGCTATGGGCACGCGGCTACTCAGGCAGGGCAGAGAGGACATGGGCGGGGCGGCGGCACGCGCCTCACGGAGGCGGCTTCAGGTGGGACTGCGTGACACTCGCGTAAATGTGTATTTATCGCAAGCTGCTTTTGAAAAAAATGTTGTGATGTCCGGTGGGTGCAGTGTGGTCTATGTGCACTCATAGAAAATCGCCCATAGTGCCCATACACGACGTTTTCTGACATGAGCCGTCGTCGTCGGTTACGTCGTGTCGGTTGATGAACGGGGCCCCGGAGGCCGGGCCAGCCTCGTCCTCGTGACGGTGACGTCCAGCGTCAGCGACCAGCCAGGCGGCCGGAAGAGGTCGATGAGACACGGCGGGCGG